TAGTGAAGTGTTCCGTCAAGCTGCGTTGGGCGACGGACATCTGTTCATCCAGGCCACGTTGTACCTCCACCATGGCAAGATTCACAACTTCCGACACTATACTGCCTAAGTTATTCTCTTGTCGTTTTAGCAGTCCCTCGATGGTGGTAAGCCTAGACTCCACCAGTTCTAATTTTTCCTCCAATGCCTCAAAGCATTGTGCGTTTGAGTTAACCATGGCTGCTCGGGGATCGTCGGCTCTGATACCAAGTTGGCAAAGACTGGGTTCTCACAGCAAGGTTAAGCTAATTAATGACAAGAATAAAAAGGGAAAAGCTTGATCACTGATTGATTAATTGAACTAAACGATTACAAGGATAGTCAATGGCTTGAGGCCATCAATCTCATGGTAGCTTTAGGCTACTACTCTCAAAAGTTCTTCACTCAATTTCTAGATGCCTGATACAATCACAAGCCTTACATTATATTACAAATCTGATTTCCTCTAAAGCTAACAATAGATAACAAAAAAGCTGGGAAACACAAATCTAAAGTTTGTTGTATTCCCAAAAGGTGAAAGACATGTGACTTTGTTTCCTTGCCGAAAATGGTTGTTTTCCAAAAGCACTCCTTTTTTCCATGCTTGTTCTACTTCCACTTCTCTAAACTCTCTTCTTCTTGCTGCTGCTGTCTGGTGACTTCTTGGTGCCTTGTGATTTGTTGTCTTGGTCTCCGGGTGTACGTCTGAAACGGTTGACCCGTATTTGGGTCCATAACATTAGGTTTCTTGTTGGAACGATCAACTTGATCTCTTTCCTCGGAAGATTGGATTTCATCATGGGGTTTCTTTGAGTTTTCCGTGGAGAGCATTTTTTTTTTTCTTTTTTTCACTTTTAATTGACCCTTAGTACTTGCTCATGATTTCTCTAGAATTATCTACTTGAACATCTAGCTAGAGAATTCAAGGCATTATTGGAAGCAACTAGAAAAATATGATTCTTGAAAATTCTGAAATATTATGGATAGAATGATGAAAGGAGCCCTAAAATATTCTAGTCATTTCTTTCACCCCCATCTTCAACTATAAATATTGGTGATGGACAAGAAATTAATGGATACACACAAGAACCATACCAATGTACAAACCTTCATACCTTTCTACCCTCCTTGTTTACTATCTACCTTCTCTACTATCCACTATTCGTAGTTTTGTACTACTCCTTTGTGAGTTACAGTAATAGTTATTATTGTACTATTCAGTACTCACCCTTAATATTTTATAATATCTTGTACTCTCCTATTATCATATAGTGGAATATTTTGAATACTTGTCGTCGTAGATTATTTTACCTTTATCAAGAGAGTTTTCTCACATTAAATATTGTGTGAATTATTTATTTATTTATTAGCAATGCTAAAAGCAAATATTTTATTTCAAGATAAAGGAAGATTATTGTCAAAATGGGTCTAACAAACCGTTCTTATCGATTAATATTAAGATTAAGGAAAATTAATACTTTGTATTATTATAAGTCAATCAGTAAAAATCTATACTATACATTAATTAGATCTAAAAAAATCAATTTAAATAAATCATAATTTATTAATATTTTCTCCGTTTCCTATCGTTTTCATAATGTAGCAAAATCTTAATAATAATGATTCATCATCGATGACAAAATCATACAACTAATAGAGGCCCATAAGAGAAAAAATTGAAATGTTGTTCCAGTTCATTGTCAATCTTATACACTAGCTAATAACATTGATTTTCTTGGAGAATGGTGTGCTTTATTCGCTGAATTACCATTTCTGAAACCTTGAAATTTCAAAGATTGAATTTGTGTTTTAAAAAAACTTAATTGAATTTCATGTAAGTGCTCATTGTACTTAATGTTCAGATCTTTAAGGTTGAAGTATGCATGGTATTGCGAGTAATATCATAAATTATAAGCAACACTTTTTATGAAAACGAGTAATAAAAGTATAAAAAAATAAAAAATCATATGTATACTAGTTAATTTGTTGTATGTCAATAAGGTAATATATAAAAGTTTGCAAGGTAAGGTCGATGATATTGCAAAGTAGATTAGGTTTCATATCACAAGAAAATACTATTGCACTTGGTACGATTTCATCCTACATAACATGGAATTTTGATAAAATTTGTCAATTTTTTCATTTTTATTTACTAGTATCACTAAATTTAATAATGGTATGAATTAAACCTTCCAACAATGTTGAAAATAAATTGCTATATTTTGTTATAATAATATTTTGTTGTTAAGTTGCTTCAACTATTGTAGTTTCTTTGTTTGGAATAACAACGGATTGGGTTAGGGTCGGATGTAGCTTCACCTGCATTTACTCGCTCACTTTATCCGCTCCACCCGTCACCACCTGCTTAACCCATCACCACACATTTGATCCATCTGTCAACTACGGGTAGATCGGATGCTTAGCGGGTGATGATTACAATATCTTATGTTACTAATACATCATGATTATTAATGTTAATTTCTTATTTCAAGTGTACAAAAATTACTAGCTAGTTTTGGAAATATGATTTTGGCACATCAAAAAGTGATTTAAGCACACCCTTTGTGAGAGCACAGTTTGGTTTGCTCCTTTCACATGGAGGCGTACTATGAGGAGGGTGGCCCTTTAAAAGCCTAGCACTTTACACTTTACACTTTTTAGGGTGTATTATAGTAGGATTTTACAATATTTGTAGCTCGTGCCCTTCTTCTTCATTCGCCATTTTCAATCTCTTTCTCTAGGGCTCCATTTTCATTATCATTTGAAGCTATGGAAAGTAAATCTTACTCCTTTTTTATTGTGCCAAACTTTTTAATTTGGTAAATGAAATGGGAAAAGCCGAATGAAGAACCCTAACTTTAGAAATTGGGGGTTTTTAATTCGGCTTGTTTTCATTAATTTGTTTGTTCTATGTTGTTGTGACATGTTTAAGGAATATCTTGCAACAAATTTCATGTGAAAGGGTAAAGTATTGAGTCCTAGATGAGCATATACAAGCATATATGTGTTTCTTCATTTGAGTTCGAATATATGCTTGAACTTATTTCTTTCTTGCTCACATAGACTATTCTTGTTACTTTTAATGTAAATTGAAGTGTTAGAACTACAATTATGCATTAAAATTAGGATCGAAGTTTTGAACTTTGATAATGGCACAAAACTTTTCTTGCGGCTCATGTTTATTTTTGCCATGCTTAAGTTGCAAAATTGGTTTTAAGAATGATAACAAATAGTTATTATTATTCACTTATAACTTGTAGTTTCAAGATTTGCATAAAACTAGTTAGTTTAGGAAATTCTTGAAAACATCATCGAACTGGTATTGTTTGGCTACATTTCGGGCTTTCAAGCCTCCAGTTTATATTTTCGGGTGTCGTAGCCACCAATATTGGATGGCTTCGATGACTTGGCTTGTTTTTTAAGCATTAGACCATTCCATTCATGTTGCTAAAATGGGTCTAGATATCCCGTGTTTCGTCTTATCATGATAACGACTAAGATCTTGAAAACGATTAAACAAGTGGGTTTAAACTGTTTTTGACCATTCATATATAGCTTATAAATTCCGTAACATGAAGGTACTATAATTACCACAAACACATAGACCTGTCAATCCTGACTCAGACCCGAATGACCCGACCCATGATTCGAAATTGACCATAAAACAACGACCCAAAATTGACCCGACCCGAAAATAGAGTTGATCTGATCCTAACCTAACACCCGAACTGACCTGATCCGAAATTGACCCGTAGTGTTTGACCCCGAACAGACCCAATACCCGAAATTGATCCGAATAGACCCGATATCGAAAATGTCCTGAACTAAAATTACTTTATAATTGAACTAAAAATGTCCGGTGCCAAAAATAACTCAAATTGTGCATCTTTAACCATAACCAAGCTCATAAACTAAATTGATAGTTCTTATTATAAAAATAACAAAATATAAAATTATTGATTTGAGCTTGATCCACAAATGGAACAACTCGAACATGACCCGACTTGATTTTGACCCGATCCGATTATGACCCAAACATACTTGACCCGAAAATGGACTACCCGAACATACCCGACCCAAAATTGACCCGAACCGAACTTGACCCGATATCTGACCTAACTCATACTCGAAACCCAAAATGACCCATATCCGACCCGAATGTTAACTGACCCAAAATGACCCGACCCGACCATTTGCTAGGTCTACAAATACAGAGTAACATAAAGTAATAGGATAACAAATAAAAACTCTCATCGCCAAGAAATACACAGCCAATTACTTCTACAAATAACTCATACGAAGTATATTGAATAAGAACAGTACAAGAAAGAATATTAACTGGAGTCCGAATTCCATCTCAAATTATATACAGAAATAATAAAATCTGAACTCCAGTAAATACAGAAACAACAACATTCCAACACAGATGATAATGGAGTCAAGTTAGATCCAGTCTAGACTACTAGAACTTGAATCGATATGGAGTTAAATTAGGTCAGTAAGTATGCTAGTAATAGCAACTGCAAACTAGTCGTGGCTACCAGATTTCAGGTCATTATGAAGCCAAGTAAAGTCCATATGTAAGCAATTACGGCAGATTTCAGGTCATTATGGAGCAAGTTAAGTCCAATCGTATGCAATTACGAACCAAACGAGGCTACTAAATTGATTTCAGATACATATAACAACTATAACCACTCAAAACATAGTCCACATGATTCTATAAACTTATAACAATGAATACAATCATATAATATAGCTTTAATTAAATAAGATCCTCAAATTCAATCAACCCTCGACTACATCAATCCAGCAAAACATACCCAATTAATCGATTTCTGCTGCTAGGCACACACAACATTTAAACATCAATACAATTGCTTCGATTAACCAGAGATCGACTAAGTCAACCATCAAATAAATCAAACTACCAAAGATTCAATCAAAAACAAACAAATTTCAACAATTTAGAACCATATATATCAATTAAATTACCAGAATTCATTGAATCTTTGATTGATCAACCAAAAACAGCTAATTCTGATAATTAAATCAGTTCAATAGATTAAACCACAAATTTAGAAATATAATGTTACAGCAGATTAAAATCAGAAACTAATAAGAACAAAAATCCTAACTAGTTTTTTGATCAGGCATAGGGAAAAGCCCCATACTAGGAGCACCACGAGGAGGCGAAAACCCTAGAAACTTCTGCAAATTAGTACGAATACTAACCGAACAAAGCAGGTACAAAAACGCCATTGAACAATCCGTCATATCATCACCAGGCAAATTCCTATGACTCATCTTCTGAACAAGTTTGATCGGAACGAATGGAATTTTAGCGACTGTTTTACCGTCGAACAACGAATTGAGTAATCCAAAAACCATGAACAATACAAGCGCAACAACAGCACCAGATTTGAATTTGAATAGCGAGAGATCTCGGCTTGCGTCTTTGAGACTTGTTTCGACTCGATCTTTCTTCTTGGTTTTGTTCTTTGAGATTGAATCTTGGGTTTTCATGGTTTCGAGCTTTTTGGAGGATTTATCAATGGCGGATTTGAGGGATTTGTAGGAATTGGTACGGTAGATTAGGAGGTAAGAGATTGCTTCGCAGATTATTGCGGTGCAAATTGAGATTCCGACGACTGTTAAACTGTCGGAGTATTTGAATGAAGATAGAAATTGGGTCACCATTGTTGTATGATTCAGAGGTCTTCTCTTTTTCTGGTTTTGTTTTCTCTCTCCTATTTTCTGTGCTGTGTGAAGAGTAGTGGGTTTTCTTTCTGTTTTTAAAGGGGGTTTGGGATTGAAGATTGAAGCATATACTAGCAATCCTCAGGTAGGTGGGATTCCAACGCATACTCTCCTCGTCTCTCTCCAGGGGCTGTATAGTTCATCAAGTTGGAATCTCATATCAGAAAAGTATGAATTTTAAAACTCATACTAGTCTAAAGTTGTTTGGTTTATTGTTGGAATGGATTGTGAATTTTAGGAGAAGAGGTGGGTATGAGATTTCATGGATATGGCGGAGTTAGAACCCCTTGGGTATGAGATTACATTACTAAAAACCTCAACCAAACAAAAAAACTAGATGGAATGGATTCTAACTCCATTCCAAATGATCCAATCAAACGACCCCTAGGATTGTTTCATTTAACTTTTCACGGATTTTACAATATAGTGTGGGATCGTTTGGTTCACTAAGATGGAATGGATTGGTATGAATTCTCATACTTGGGTGGCATGGATTCTATATCTCATACTAATCTAAAGTTGTTTGGTTTAACCATGGAATGAATTCTCATACTTGAATGATAGTATGGATTATGAATTCTTAGGGGGATTCATAAGTTAAATTGTTGCAATTTTAGTGAAACAGATAAAGTAATAAGTAAAATTATAAAAATTGATATTATGAAATATATGTATTGAGACAATTCTAACAAGATCCAGGTGACTGTGTAAAATCACAAAAGATAGTCAAAGTAAAACTTGTGAATAGTATTAAAAGTCAAAATATATCAACTAAAAAAGGATGAACTATAAAGTTAATAGGTTTATTTGGAAACTAGCCAAATCGCTATTATTGAATTGGTTTGATGTAATTGATGACCTTGCAAGTTGCAACATCAACTAATTTTATGCATACTTAAGTGCGAATAAAATCATTGGCTAAAACTCAATATTGTACTCCAACTTCCTATTTTGGTAGCCAATCAGGGAAATACTTAGGAGTATCTAAGGCTAAGAATAGAGATGATAAAAACTCAGGTTTGTTTTTAATATACAATCTTGGTCCCAAACCTGTAAAATAAAGATAGACTAGTCGGCTCAAAGTAGGTTTTTGGGCTTTTTTCGGGAAGGGCTTGGGTTTGGACTAAAACTACGCTTTTATGGCTTCCCAAAGCCACACTTTTCCGGTTAGACCATTGTTAATTTTCTCTATTTGAGAAGTATGGAGATAATTTGAGTACAAAATCATACTTCATACAAGCATACATGGGCTTTGCTACAATGAGCCACAACTCCAACAAGTAGCTAATTAGCGAAGTAGTTAGGTATTGTTGCCAATCAGGGTAATATTAATTTTTAACCTTATATATGGTGGACAGTTAGCTAGGCCCAATTTAAGAGCAGCGTGTGGCCCGTTTAAAGATCACATATCCTTTTGCTTTTATTCATTAAAAAGAGCAAAAAAGCATTTTCAAAATTAAAAACTACTCTCTAAGTTTTCTCTCTCCTTATTTAATCTCATCGAATTTATACTAATCTCACTCATGTCATATTAAATGCATCTTTGATAAAAGCCTTAATCATTATCATAGTGGCGTTAATATTCTGTAGGGAATTAGGTACTATATTGCGGATCGGAATTTCACGAATTTTATTCGTTCGCACCTTAACAAGATCAACATGCATAACACATAAGAATCACATAATAATACCTTTAATTTGAAGCGTGAATTCCACATAACGATTAGCTACGAATCAGGGAGAAATAGAGTCTCAAGTGTTACTCCTTTAATCAGCACATAGGATTCGATTGAACGTCCACCAATACTAGATTGGTCGGGTGAGAGAGGTAAACCACCACGATCACCACCTTTCATGGACGACCACCACACAAACACACACACCTTGCACGCATGTGAGGTTGAGAGAGAGAGAAAGAATTCGGGTTTCGTATTTTCTAATTAGGATTTGTTGACTGATCACCCTTAATTCCAACCCTAGGCACCTAATCTATTTATAATCATATTATAATAGATTAGGAGCAAGCTCGAAATCCCTAAAACCACTCCTCATGGCCAGCCACCTAGAGAGAGGGCCCATTATGTTCCTTTCTCTTATGTTTAATCTAGACCTCAAAGTGATGACCTTATAGGATCCGTTCTAATGGACTTTGGCCTATTTTACTAGCCCAAACAAATATCGTTAGTACCTCTAATTATGAAGTAACGACGACCCAAAATAACGAACATAATTATCTCTAAAATTCGATCCATTATATATCTAGTAATTGCACTTTACGAAGACATATTTCCTTTATTTTCTAGTTATTATTTTAAAATATTTATTAATAGTGGATTTTAAAAGAGAAAATTAATAGGGTGTTGCATTGATTTATTTATTGGAGGCTATCACCAACAATGGTCATTAAAGGGTATTCTTGGGACTAGTACAGTCAACGAAGAGTGTTCTTGAAGGAGAGAGGTTTGTTGTGGTTGGGCTTGTTACTTGAGTCAAGCATTAATGCAATATAATACTTAAAGAGGATAGCTACTATATGCCAAGAGTATCTATATATAGACCGATTCATTTATATGCATTTGATTTTTTTTTTTCTCTTATGAATAACTCCGATCCTTCGCCCATTTCACATTTCATCTCTGAGTCTAATTTGGTTCATTGACCGTATTGAAGTAGCATTTCTTCTAAGATTGTGACGAAAGCCTATGCATGGGTCATGTGTCTTTGGTATGTCCTTTGGTTGTCTAATTTGTAGATTCATGCAATACGTTGATATATATCTCTTTTAAAAGATTTGTTAGTGAGTTCTTGCTTTAATGTAATCATCATGCCCCCATTCACAAATTGTAGTCAATTTGAGTTAATCACATACATGTATGATCTTTATAGGTAAATCTTTCCATGTCTACAAACATAAAACATGACTAGAAACACAAAATTGTCAAGAAGGGGTTGCTAAATTTGGTTAAGTGTAATTTATAAAACCCATGTAGAAAATGTGTGAATAAGAAATCCAAATCCTAAGAAGCATATGTACTTAGCAAGTTGTTTACATAAGAAAATCGAACTACAGTGCGTGCGAAAATATAGAACTTTTAACATCGAATAGACACATAGCAAAGTCCAAAGAAGAAATCTTACCAAGTAGCCAAGCATAATCTGTAGAGATTACCAAAAAAAAAAAATAAGCTCACAAAAAAAATGAAGCGCATATATAAAGGTAGCTAGATTACTTACCGTTTGGGTCCAATTCAGTCATCACTAATTGGGCCGATCCAAATGATTTAATTACAAAAGCAAGGTTCAACTCTCCTATTCATGCTAAGTCAGCCAAGCCCAGTCAGCATGGTAAGCCCATCTGACTTCAAGGGCCCAATCCTCCTCTATTGAGCAAAGGTATAAAAGCCATCAATTGTCTCTTCTTACATTCATTCACAATCAGCCTCAAGTAATTAATTCTCTTGTATAACATTTACTCTCAATACACTGAACTGACTTTAGCATCGGAGGGGCCTTCCTCGGCAACTGCCCCCGAGGCTAGTTTATGTGTGTTTGCTGTGCAGGAAATCCTCGCCCGGTCTCTACCTGACCAAGCTCAGTCTTCTCCCACCGAAAAGGGTCTGCCGAAGGTGCTATTGTTTCCATACCGAAACAATTTGGCGCCGTCTGTGAGGAAGATACATCAAATAGGCCAAAAATCATCAAATCTTAGCGAAAAATGACTAAGAGCGGTAAAAGTGCCAAGAGCATAAAGAAAAACAATCCTTCCTCTTCGAATAAAAATGATGTCGCGATGAGAATGAGTCCACCGACTTCACCATCACCGGAAAATTCTTCCTCTTCTTTGAAAGCTCCCTCTTCCCCGGAAGGGATGGCCTTGGAGAAGTCCCCATCCAATCATACTCGCCTGCCGACAAGCTCGTCTCGGCCGAGTCAATCAAATGCAAAAAGTCCTCCTCCACAGAGCTTACATTCTTGGTCTCAACCGAGAATAACTCCTCAATCGGGGCCCTCTACGGAGGAAGTGGCGAGAACCGTAGCGGTCGTCATGGATTTCATGAAGGCCCAAGCAGGAAACCTTCCACCACCCCATGATCACTCACCTATCTCGCCAAGACACCTAAGAATGAGGAGTAGCCGAGAGGAAGGTGAACAAACTCCTTCCTTCAAGGAGATTGAGGAAAAATGGGAGGAAGACACCTAGAGGACCGAGCGGGAAAGGAAAAAGAACCCCCAATTCTTTGGAGATTACAAAACTCGAGACTCTAGGAGTTACAGAAGCAGCAATTCCACCTCAGCGTGACAAGAGTCTGCACGCCAAAGTGTTCATGAACGTCTAGGCTTAAGGGAGGTGGACGTGCATAGTCGCCTCACCTACCCGGAGGGAGCCAGGCCCAACCCCGAATTGTCTCAGCCAAGGACAAAAACCACTTCCACCTCTCTGAGAGGGAGAAGCGAGGTTCCTTCGGCTAGACAGAAAGGGAAGGTCGTTATGGTTCCTACAAGTTCACCCTTCCAAAGCTGGATATTGGAAGAACATGTGTCGACGGTGAAAATCCTGGCGCACATCACCTACGATTGTAATTTGGATCCAAAGGACCACATTGCCTCTTACGAGGGGCAGATGTACCTTAATCCCAAGTCCAAGGCAACCTGGTGTAAGTACTTCCTAACCATCCTCAAGGGGGTTGCTCAAGCATGGATCACCAAGGGGGTGAAAGAAGGCTCAATAACTGGTTGGAAAGATCTTCCCAACAAATGTAAGAGCAAGTTTTCTACGGCAAATCGCCGAGGAAAAAACAACTGCGAAACTTATGAGTCTGCAGCAAAAGGAGGACGAGAGCCTCCGAGACTATTTGACTCGTTTCAGCAACGAGTCGTCCAAAATTACAAGTCTAGACCAAGGGCTAGCAATTTTCACGTTGCGAAACGACCTTTAAGCTGGAAAGTTCCTAGACTTCATGGTCATGCATCCCCCGCAGGCCTTGGAGGAAGCTTTAAACGCCTCGGATAAATACATCCGAGCCTAAGAATGGAACAAAACAAAGTCCCAGTCCCAATCCGGGACTGATAAGGCAAAAGGACAATAGTCCGACGGCCAGGGCCTGAAGAAAAGGAAGGCGAAAGCCTCAGAACCGTCTTC